ATGAAAAGTGTTATTGTATTATAGATCTAACAATATAAATGAGAATTGGCCAAAAATGCAGTGCTCACAAACTACTTTACAGCATATGGTTTTGGATTAATGTGTCCCCAGTAATATATCTGTGGGGGAAAGATTGAATAACCTATTAGGGGAAATGAAAAATGTGAAGGGGGAGAGTGCAGAAAAAGAATAACGCTCACTACCACTCCTTTTTTACTTCAACTAGATGTGTAAAAAAATCTCTTTGAAGTGTGAAAGTGTGGATTTTCCTCCTCGATGTTTCTAAATTTCCTTTTTTCTTTTCTTCCTCTTTAAAAGAAGAAAGGAAGAGAACTGAGAGAAAATGGGAATTTTCCAACTATTGCAAAAAAATTAGAACCCAAAAATTTTGAAAAAACTTTATTTGAATTTTCTCATTTAAAAATCTTTAAAATTGGAAACAAATAATACTAAATGAAATGGGGAGGTGTTATTTTACAGCATTGCAGTGAAATAAGTAAACCCAATATCTTTGATTTCTTAGTCCAGTTGCTTTTTGTAGTAGCACCTGATGAAAGAGGTTTGCTTGCTCATTCTTTAGATGTCAAACTTTCCATGACTTTCACTGAGCAACTTTGCAGATCAGGGCCTAACTGCACATTAAATCAAAAACACAATGTTGAAATAAACAGTTCAGCAGCTACCTTTAACTTAAAGTGAACTGGCCAGATCATTCAGCATTTACTCATGTATTTGTAGCCATGAGACTACATATGGGAGTACAGATAGATGGGTTGAGCATTGTTACAGATCGATGGGTTTGAAAAGCAGTGTGTTTTAAAGAAGAGCAAGAGGATATGAAAGGTGTGCTATAGTGGCTAGAGGTAGGGGCAAGGAGACAGATTCATGAGTTCTAATCATGCCTGTGTAGTTGACTGACTCCATAGCTTAGAGCACAGTCACTTGACCTCTGTTTCCACATCACATGAGAAGCTTATTTCAGAAGGAGGGTGGTGAAGCACTGCAATAGGTTACTTCGGGAGGTGGTGGACTCTTCAACCCTTTGTCAAGCCCTGGCTGGGTTGATTTAGTTGGGGTGGGTCCCAGTTTGGGCAGGGGGCTGAACTTAATGACCTCCTGAGGTCTCTTCCAGCCATAGGATACCTATGATTCTGTGATCACCCTATGTTAAAAAATAAAATAAATAAATAAATAAATAAATAAGATTACTTACTTATCTCTTTTGTACCAGTACTACAAGGGTAAAGAGGGTAAATGCTCATGAAGTCTCTTAAAAATAAAATAGGCTCCTAATTTTTTAATATTAATCACTATTAATATTAAAATCTTTCCATTTTCAAAAAATGAAATATTCAGGGGAGAAATATTATTCTTTATAAGCAGCTTCATCCTTAGAAAATAAATAAACCATCATACTAAACAGTTTGCATTATATAAAAAAATCACAGGGGGTAATCCTTGTGCACAGTCATGCCTTCTATTGAAATGTTATAAATCTATCTTTTTTGCTTGGAGTTATAAGTATGTTCAGGTTTAATTGCTTGGACCTAGCAACTGGTTTTAAGGTTTCGCTGGGAGTGTTTTAAGAAGTGAGCCAAACCAGAACCTGGAATCTGAACCTTTTCAAATTTTCATATTTGGAGAGTTCACATCAAAACTCACCCTCATGATTTCCATATCAGATCCAAACCTAGAATGTGTCCATCTTTCATTTCAGACGTGGAGAAACATTTTGGCCACATTTCTCACGATTCCAGGTCCATGTAATCTAAACCCGAAATATCATCCTGATTCTTCCAGGAACTCAAACACTGCCTAACCCAGGTCTAGATATTGTTTTGTTAGCCCATCTTGGGGAGGCAACTGGGGAAGGTAAAGAGACTGAACCACCACTGGGTATAGTGCAGTCAGATTAAACAATAGCACACATTTGCTCAGCAAAAGATCCAACTCTATATTCTCATTTCTGAGTCAGCTCCATCACAGATGACTTCCATCCAGTTGACTGAAACTGTACTAAATTGCACAGGGCATTTCAGGGATTATAAGAACTGGTAAATAAATCACAACATTTCTCCATACATATTGAGAAAATAATGGACCTCCTCCCCCATTTGGAAATCTACCACCCCATGCACCAAAGCTCTTTCACTGTGCTGTCTTTGGTTTCCATGTCAAGCTTGCCAGAACTAGCATTTGTGGATGTCATATTCAATACTCTTGGCCAAAGATCTATCATGATCCGATGGGAATAAGAGATGGAGGGCGGGGGTGGATATAAGGTGTCAGTTTCCATAGTTTGTAGGGTTCCTCTATAGAGAAGCCTGCTGTTATATCACACTGACTTGCCTGACAATCTGTCTTAGGTCTGGGGCAAGAGAGCAAAGCTGAAAAAATGCATTGTAGCTACAGGAGAATGATGGGGCGGGGTAGTTATGAAACTGTACCTGTACTGTTCTGGGAGGGAGGCCAAGATGCCTCACTACAAGGAAGCAAACCGGCTGAGTAGTCCAGCCCAGCAATGTTTCAGGGTGGGCCCACAAGAGTTCGAATACAAGCCCAACAACTGTTAAGATGCCCAGGCCCTAGCTCAGGGCAGGGCAACAAATAGCCCTGGTGCTCAGTCTATGCTCTGACCGAGCAGCAGACACTCCACCCTGGCCCTAGTTCAGGGCAGGGCCACAAACAGCCCCGTGTTCAGGCTGAGCAAATGTCAGTAAGACCAGCCTCTTATTCAGGGCAGGGTAACTAGCAGTGCAGGCAGCTCAGCCCGCATTCAGGCAGAGTTACTGGTAATAGGCCCAGGCCCCTGTTCAGGGTAGAGCAGCAAACAGAGACTGCAGGCTGATCAGGGATCAATATGTCCTGGCCCTAGTTCAGGGCAGGAGAAAAAACAAGTAACGGGCTCAGGCCTATGTCCATGCTGAGCCACTGTCAATATAAGCCCAGGCTCAGGGCAGGGCAAGAAGCAGAAGCAGCTTAGGGGGCTCAGGCCCGTTCTCAGGCTGAGCAGCAATCGGGTCTCCTACCTCTGGCAGAGAGCCGACAAGTGCAGGCATTTAGCTCAAAACAAGGGAGACAGCCACTAGGGACTGAGGTAGCGGGGGGTGGGGGGGCACAGGCCCACTTTCTCCACTGTGTCCCAGCCCAGGACCCTAACAATGGCATCTCTGGCTGCCATTGTGTCGGCGGGAATCCTGACCACAACACACTGACCAATTCACCTCAGTATCTTCAGCCGGACATGGGCTGGCTACCCCTGGGATACTTCCCAGTTCCCCTTTAGGCCTACCTGGGTTGGTGCTCGCTCCTTTGGGTCTGCAGGGAATGAACACTCCTGCAGGGTTTCCATCAGCTCAGGGTCTGGGGTTATCAGTGGTCCTGGCCAGGCTTCTGGGCTCGCCAGTGATCCTGGCAGTCCTGGCCAGTTTTCCTCTTCCCAGCGGTGCAGCCGAGCCACCTACTCAGACAAGGCGTCTGGCTTCCCCCATGGCTGGGGCCCAACTCAACTCTTAGCTGCAGCCTTTAGACTTCCCAGCCCATCCCTCTGCTTCCTGGGAGTGGGGCTGGGTTGCCTTGGCCCTGCCCAGAGGGTCCTGGGGAGTTCTTCCCCTTCTGAATTAGTGGGAGGCCAAGCTGCTTCACTGCACAACGCATAATAAGACTTTAAGAATTAAAGCAGGATTTCCCATTGATTCCAGTGGGAGCAGAGCAAGGGCAACTGAAAGTGTTTTTTGAAAATGCCACCCTAAAGACTTAAACCTATTTCTGGCTTTTTACAGGTGAAGAATAAGTGCGATCAGAAGATGCTCATTACAACCAAAACCAAATGCCGATCTTGTTCTCTAAACCTTGAAATCCAGTGCCCTGATGGCTACAGTAAAGTTACCAATGGATCTGGACTACGAGACTGCAGGTATTTCTTCTGTGTTTTTTGAAAATGCCACCCTAAAGACTTAAACCTATTTCTGGCTTTTTACAGGTGAAGAATAAGTGCGATCAGAAGATGCTCATTACAACCAAAACCAAATGCCGATCTTGTTCTCTAAACCTTGAAATCCAGTGCCCTGATGGCTACAGTAAAGTTACCAATGGATCTGGACTACGAGACTGCAGGTATTTCTTCTCCTACAGCTCCTACTGTGTCCCCAAGTCAGCCGCTGCTGATACTAATCAGCGGCTGACAGTCATCCCCTGATCAGTTTAAGCAGCGGCTGACTTGGGGACACCTGGGGTGCTGCGGGTTGGTCCCGCAGCCCTGAGGGGCAGTGCTACGGGGCAGTGCTCCCCGGCAGCACTCCAGCTGCTCTGCCCCTGACTTTCCTGATTCAGCCGCTGGTCAGTTTTAGCAGCGGCTGAATCAGGGAACCTGGGGGCAGAGCAGCTCCAATGGTCTGGCTGCCCAGAGCTCTTCCGGGTTCCTGATGGTGCCGGACTATCAGGAGTACTGGACCATCAGATGCCGGACCATTGGAGTTTTACTGTAGTTCTTTCTTGTATTCTGTGAGTATTTATTGTGTGTTCCAGCTTTGGTATGAAACTTCCCATTTTTAAATGCTGCATTTTATGGTTTTAGTCTCCCAAATCCTCTGAGTCAAAAACTCAAAGGGTGTGTTTTCAAAACTTTTCAGGGATCTCCCTCTGAAGCAATCTTGCCACAGTCCTTTAGCTTACTGAAAACTGTGGTGTATCCAAATTACAGACAGTAAGAAAGGCAGGCATATTATACAAGAGAAAATGTACAAGAGAAATGGCTGCAAGGAGGCTTTAAGACTTTAATAAACTATGGGAGAAAAAACAGTGGTGAAAGTAACTTAACATTTCTTACAGGTGCTATCCTATTGTAACCTGCCTGCTCTTTAAATAGCTCCCTGCTGGCTTTTGGCACAGCTCAACCTGCTCTTGCTGAAGCTGAGCACCAGGACGCTCCTGCTTACTTTCACCTCTGGAGAAAAATCCCATTTTTACATGAAAATTAAAAAACCAAGTCGTAATGCTGTCATTTTAAAATTCTGCTCTCTGGCTTTACAGAACGCAGAGGTTACCATCGCTATTTATCCCCAAAGGAGATTTTAAACACTCTAATATATCTGCAACTTCTTGTCTTTAGGTATTACCTTGAAATCAGGACTTTCACTTTGTCTCTTCCTGGATGTCGGCATTTATGCATGAAGGAATTTCAACAACCCGAGTGCTGCCATGGATATTGGGGCCCAGATTGTATGGGTAAATTCACTTAATTTCCTCTTCTCACAAACTATTGCTGTGGTAAGCCTGACTTTCCTTCAAATGATGTCAGGAGCACATAGAGCAATAGAGCATCTTGTTCAGTGAATGTGCTTCAACATTTTACATCAAATATGTAAGCTTTAAATAAGGTAGGACCAATAGACCCAATTGATAGTCTATTCGCCTAATGCCTGTTACAGTATTGGATCTGCTGACATCCCATATAGAGTTGTTTTGGAATACTCTCACTCCTCTCTGTTTACCAAAATACACTAGTGATGTCTGTTTGAGGCTGCATATATTCCTTTCCTATTTAAGTCAGAGTGATTCAGAGTCTGATCCAGCACCCCTGGAGTAATCCACTGGCTAAATAGACAAAAAGAATATTTACAGATTCCTATCTTCTACATAGGCAAAGGTAAATGTTAAACACTGGCCGTATTGACAGGAACCACAATTTTAGAAACCCTATTCACAGCTAAATCTATCCTTACAACATGGAGTGGCGAGCCAATAAAAAGTTGTCTTTTTTTCCCCTCTAATGAAGCATAGAATCCTGCCCTGTGGTACAACAAAGACAACAACAATACTTGATTAGTTTATACATGGTAATGTATTCTGTGACACCATGTTATGGACTGCATGTGTCTTAAGGTATGAAAGAGTTTGCTCAAAATGGAATAGAGTTAGAATTCCTGCTAAAGGGATTCTGGAGCAAGTAAAGAGGCCCCCCTTTTCCTCCTAATAAACATCCTGGACAGAAAAAAGGAACTCTGCATAAGAATCAAGGTCTAGGCATTGTTTCTGCTGTCACTTGAAGAAAAGTGCTATTTTCTTCTCTTATCTTAATCTGTTTAAGAACATACTGTGCATCCTACAGTTTAGAGGAAAGCAGTTCCTTCCTCAAGCTAGTAGAAAAATCCTGACTAGGAGCATACTTCATTTTTTGTATTTGATGGTGATGACAAAATAAGCTCTTAAATAGTACTTCTGTTTCCTTAAATGATAGGCCACATTGGCATGACGGGTGTTCCTCTGTCCTTCCCTCACGTGCTGCAGGATTCCAGTACAGCAAACCTTCCATGCAAAAGAACCATACTCCAATTCCCTTTTAAATGGACTACAGTAGGGATGGAGAACCTAAACCCTGGGGGCCAGATGCAGCCCCTGGCTTGCCTGGATCTGGCCCCTGAGGCTTACGTCCCCTCCTCCTCCCCCCAGCACTGGGGAGCCAGTGCTTGTGCTCCAGCCAACTCATGGGGCAGGAACACACAAAATCTACTCGCCTGGGCCTCCTAGGCTCTGGTGTGCAAGGAGATTGTGAGGAGTGTCTTTGTGCTTCTCAGTCGGTGGCCACGTCAGTTTTGTTTGATTGGTTTTGTTTTTGTGGGGTGTGTTTTTGGTTTTGGGGTTGATTTTTTGCTTCTCACTTGTGTGCAACTGCTGACTGATTTTTTTTGGGGGGAGGATCATTATGATCATTTAGTCTAGCCTTCTGCATAGCATAGAAATACTATAGTATTATCCTACTTTCACAGTTGTGCAGTTGAGGCACAAAAAAATCAGGAGCCAGATTTACAAAGGTATTTAGGTGCCCAAAAACACAGATTTGACTTTGAATTGATTTTAGTGGAAGTTGGGTGCCTAACTGGATTAGGCACTTTTGCAAGTCCCACTGTCATCCATCTGCAACTTTGAGCACCTAAATACCGTTAAAAATTAGGCCTTAAGTGATGTGGCCAAGGTCACACCGCAAGTCAGCAGCAGAGTTCAGCACTCAGCCCGACGTCTCCCAAGGTCTAGTACAGAGCCGCACCTCTAGACCGTGTTTCTTTTAAACCTCCCTCCCACTGACTTGCTCCCTTGCACCACCCATCTCTGCTGGAGATTAGCCCCCATTTACTTGCTTGCTTTCTCCTGCAGCCATTTAGATTTTTAATCTATATCCAGCAGAAACAAAAGCCACTTACTCTGCTCATTATTTAGAAAACACTGAAAACTAAGATTTGTTGCATAACTAGTTAACACAATCATCAGAGACATAACAACAGAGGACATGGAATATGTGTGAGGTAACAAGCCCCAGAAAAATATAGGCGCATATACAGATACCTAACATTTAGTTTTTTCTCCAGATCTTAATTATATTAGCTATTTATTAATACTGTCATATAGAGTCTTAAGAAATGTATTTGCCATACAAATGTAAGTGAAAATTAAAATAGATTAGAATATATACTATGTAGCTAATAATCAAATTAGAGTGGAAAGACATAAAATGGTTTCCAAGGAGTTGGCAACATTAAGTCCATTCTTCTCTTGCTTGTGTAATACAAACAGTAAGTGGGAAAACAGAGTAAATAATAGTTTTAATCAATTAAATTATGAGGCAAAAAAGTAAATATTTAAGTGTTTTTTCTTTTAAAAAACCCCCTCTGTCTACAAAGCAATATTGCTGGCCAAAAACTTGGGGTAGGAGAGGAAGAAATCCACAGAAACATTGACAGATTCAAAAGAATGTCCCATTCTGTTATGTTTTGAGGTGGTTTTTGTTTTCTGACTTTTCAAGGGATTTTTTTTTTTAAGAACAGAATTTTTCAATTTCAAAATTGGAAAACTTCAAAAATTGTATGTTCTAATGTAAAAAACCCCCCAAAGATATTTAAAATGGGGATCTAAAATTAGGCTCCTAACTATGGTTCTGGTATCAAAATAAATAATCTGATTCTAAAAGGGACCGAGCTCCCAGCCATTTCCAGTCTCATGCTCAGACCATAAGACAGACCACACACAGCTCTTTTTTGTGGGTTAAACTGGAAAGTGTATCTTTTGTACCATTTCTTGAAAGATACACTGAACAGAAAGAAAGGGCCTGATTCACCACTTCATTTACATTGGTTTTGTGCATGCCTAACTATAATGAAGTACTTGGAGTTACTCTAATGCAAAACTGGTGTAAGGGATCGGAGAATCCAATGCCTTCTGGAATATAGAGCTCAAGCGAAAGTTCAATATCTGTCTAAGTAGCAAATTATCATATTGTTCTACAATTTTAAACAGCTGACAAAGGTCTGGCTGTGGTAGTTTCAAAACAAGAGGCAAGAAGGGTATTAGTGATGTCAAAGGGAAATAGAATTGAAATCAGCAGCAAAATAATTATTTGGTCAGCCATATTTTAAATCTGTTTTACCAGAATTTTGTATAAATGCTGAGTTCTTTCTCCATTATGGTATTTGCTATCCTGGCACATTTAACAATGGGAGTATTGCAGGTAGTGAGTTAAAATAACTGTTGTCCATGTATCTCACAAAATTAGCTGATTGGTATCATCATTAGCCCTAACAGTAATTTTTATCTGTGACCTAGCATCTTGAAAACATTTAAAAGCTCCGTGAGGACATTAGCGCTAATATGTATTTATCGTTTTACCTTGTCCCAGTTATCTCATCTCAGATCTTAATACAACATTATGATTTCAATGTGTTCAAAGTACACTGGACTGAAAATTGTATCTGTTTAGAGACTGATTCATGGAAGAAGTGTATTTAAAGTCAATAGCACTGGCTGGATTACTGCCTCATCTTTAAGGGATAGATTAGTATGCAGCCAAAGTGTTCACAGAAATAATGTGTATGCATCTGCACATCCACTTATTTGCTCACTGCTCAGATCACTTGCAATTCACCCTGGTGCAGAGGGACTGAACAAAGCTGCCGTATCCTTTAAACTCTTGAATTTGGGGTTAAATTAGACATAAGTGGTGCATATATCTTGTGCTAGCTCCCTGCATGGGGTAAATATTTCACCTCCTGCTGCACAGCACAAGGGCTGGCTGGAACACAATTCCATCTCAGGAAAAACTCTGAAGTTTCAAAATTTGGTTTTTGTTCTGCACCGGAACAAAAATGAGCACTTTTGAGACTGGGCCACCTCAGAATTTGGAGTAGGAATTACAACCTGGGTCTCTCTTTCTCTCAATCTCTCCTGTTGGAGCTGTTCCATGTGGTACAAATAATTGAATATTGGGACAGAGAAAGACAAAACAGATAGAACAGGGATTTGAACCCAGGTCAACTCAATTGCAGGTAAATACCCAAATTGCCCAGCTATTCTGTAGTGGGTTTTGCCCACTTTCTTCTCCTTCCCCCCAATTCCATTCTGGGCCTGCAAAACCTTTTTGATGAAAAAAATGGCAATTTTTTGACCAGTTTTGCACAGAACCAGCACAATGTCCTCTCTACCATTTAAGTCCAGTGCTAAAGCTGGGCGGGGGGAAGGGCGGTGCTATAAACGGAGCAATAGGGTCTTGCCTCCTTTACAAACTTTTCTAGTGATGTTCTGTGCTGGCATCTTTGGCAGTAGATTGGAGGGGAGACCACAAGCTACACAGTTATGTAGCTAATAGAAGAGCAAAGAGAAGAGCTGCCACTGAGAGGTTGCATTTAGCTCAGGTCATAAAATCAGGGAGAGTGCTGTGGAAAATTTCAACAAAAATAAAAAAATCTAAAAATCTATTTCATGCAAAATGTTGATGTTTATAGGTGAAAATATGAATATTGAAATATTTCAGTTGGAAATGCTGCCATGCTGCATTACTCTTCCATTCCTTCTGGGTTGGGCTCGGCTCCTTGGACAGGCTAATTCTCCATGACACACCATGGACAACCCTCATGGCAAAGGGAAGTCGCCACAGTGTATTGTAGGTGATGCTGTTGAAATGGGAAGCCTGGCCAATAAAAGGAAATAGAGACAGCAGGCAGCCAAACTTCAGTTCCCATGAGGCACTGAGACAGCATATCGGGGCAACTGGTGAAGGAGGACACCTCGCCATTTGACGCCTCCTGTCGACACCTGAGGGAGGGCTGGGACACTATTCCCTCTGCCCCAGGCCTCACCTCTGCGCTGCCTCTTCCCCACTCCTTTTCTGCCTCCACCCAGCCTTTCCCCTCAGGCTTCCTTCCCCAGCAGTGTGGCCAGAGGGCAAGTGGAAGAGGCCTGGTGTTGGCAGTAGGGGGTGGGTCCCCCACCCCAGTGACTGAGGGTAGAAGCGGAGCAATGTGACCCCATTTTCCCAACTGCCCGTCACATTGCTCGGGCAAGGAGCCAAACTGTCCCTGCACTCACCGGCAGCAGCAGAGGGGAGCAGAGAAGTGCAGCCTGCAGTCAGGGAGGTTGAGCTGCATTGCTCTGCTTCCCCCCTATGGCTGCCGGTGAGTGCAAGGGGGCCGACCACTGCTGCCAGAACCAGGCCTCCCCGCTAGTCCCCAGGGATGCCCAGAGGCTCTGGCCCCTTGCCCCTCTCACCCACAGAATTTGAGGGGGCACTTGGTCCCTCAGAATCCCTTCACGCATTGCCAGGGCAGCACATTCAAATATTTCAGTTTTCAAGCTTTCTGTTTTTCAACGAAAAGTCTAAATTTTTCCATGGACATCTCAAATGTTTGCACTCTTCACCTCTCAGTCCACCAGTAGTAGTAATGGCCAAGGCTTTCAAAACAAGGGGCCCAAAGTTTAGACAACTTATCAAATGCCCAGGTTTTCAGAAGAGCTGAGCATCTAAGAACTCCCATTCCGTTCTGCACTTGTGAAATCAGATCCACTGAGCCCCAACCCTGCAAACTATGTAGGTCTCCAGCAAAAGGGATAAGGCTGGGGGCTTGCCTCCCCCAGCTCTAGGTGCACCCACCACCCATGCATGCCAACCTTACTTCTGTACTCTGATCGGAGCTGGGCGGCAGGAGAGTGGCAGCTGCTGGCCAAAGGGTAGCAATACCATGCTATACCATGCTTCCTTCTGTGCTGCTGCAGACAGTGGCACTGCCTTCAGAGCTGGGCTCCCAGCCTGCAGCCTCTGCTCTCTAGCTATCCAGTTCTGACAGCAGCATTGCCACCAGCATACATTCAAATATTTCAGTTTTCAAGCTTTCTGTTTTTCAACGAAAAGTCTAAATTTTTCCATGGACATCTCAAATGTTTGCACTCTTCACCTCTCAGTCCACCAGTAGTAGTAATGGCCAAGGCTTTCAAAACAAGGGGCCCAAAGTTTAGACAACTTATCAAATGCCCAGGTTTTCAGAAGAGCTGAGCATCTAAGAACTCCCATTCCGTTCTGCACTTGTGAAATCAGATCCACTGAGCCCCAACCCTGCAAACTATGTAGGTCTCCAGCAAAAGGGATAAGGCTGGGGGCTTGCCTCCCCCAGCTCTAGGTGCACCCACCACCCATGCATGCCAACCTTACTTCTGTACTCTGATCGGAGCTGGGCGGCAGGAGAGTGGCAGCTGCTGGCCAAAGGGTAGCAATACCATGCTATACCATGCTTCCTTCTGTGCTGCTGCAGACAGTGGCACTGCCTTCAGAGCTGGGCTCCCAGCCTGCAGCCTCTGCTCTCTAGCTATCCAGTTCTGACAGCAGCATTGCCACCAGCATCAGCACAGAAGCAAGGGTGGCAGTACCATGACCCCGCCACTCTAACTTTGCATTCCCCCCTTCACAATCTGCTTCTGGATCAGGATGCCTACAGTTACAACACTGTGAAATTTCAGATTTAATTATTTGAAATGATTAAATTTTTTTAAATCCTATGACCATGAAATTGACCAAAATGGTCATTGAGCTTGGTAGGGTCCTACACTTTAACTTTACTATACGATAACGAGTAATACCAAACTACTCACAATGGTAAAGTTAAGCACATATGTAAGGGCTTCCTAGATTGGAGCTTTATTCAGATACAGGAATATGGATATAGTAGAAGTTTAACTTTGGCCAATAATTTCAAAAATAGAAAACTAGCATTAATCGTCTACATACATATTCAAGCTCCTAAATAAACAAGCTTGTTAGCAAAACTTGAAAATCTGGCCAATTTTGACATGGCTATAGATTTCGAAATCTAACTTGAAGGTCCTATTTTTAAAATCTAGACCACTACATTTATATAATTCTCCATGCAAAATATTTAACAAACTCCATGCTCATCTATAGAATAGAATGGACTGGAAAGACTAAGGTTTTAAAATGTGATTTTAAAACACTTTTCCCTCTAGTTTGACCAGACAGAATTCAGAAGGGCAGAACTCCATGAAAATATAATGAAAAGACTTTGAGTTTAAACTTCTTGTTTTGGTTAAAGGATTGAAAGTCAGCCCAGCAATTGCTATAGTAATTATCTTGTATAGCATCCAAAGGGTCAGTCATTAAAAATTACACTTAGTGATCATATTTGAAGAGAGAAAATCCTTTTCATATAGCATAGTAAAAATACCCTATCTTGGGACATTTGTAGACTGGACAAAGCTCTAGAAAATATACTATTAGGAGCAGTCCTATATCAGCAGAGAGGTAGATAAGAAGAAATAATAGGTTCTTTTCCATCTTGACTCCTTATGATTCTCTAAATCAAAACAATCTCAGATATTCTGTTCTGAAAACACAAGGGCTGTGTCTAGACTCCATCCCTTTTCCGTAAAAGGGATGCAAATTAGACACATCGCAATTGCAAATGAAGCGGGGATTTAAATCCCCCCCGCTTCATTTGCATAAACATGGTTCCTCTTAAAAAAAGGAATAAGGGATCTTTCGGAAAAGGCTTAATTTTCCGAAAGATCCCCGTCTAGACTGGCGCTTTTTTCCGGCAAAGCTCCGAGCCGGAAAAAAGCGGCAGCCATGTTTATGCAAATGAAGCGGTGGGGATTTAAATCCCCGCTTCATTTGCAATTGCGATGTGTCTAATTTGCATCCCTTTTACGGAAAAGGGATGGAGTCTAGACACAGCCCTTGTGTTTTCAGAACAGAATATCTGAGATTGTTTTGATTTAGAGAATCATAAGGAGTCAAGATGGAAAAGAACCTATTATTTCTTCTTATCTACCTCTCTGCTGATATAGGACTGCTCCTAATAGTATATTTTCTAGAGCTTTGTCCAGTCTACAAATGTCCCAAGATAGGGTATTTTTACTATGCTATATGAAAAGGATTTTCTCTCTTCAAATATGATCACTAAGTGTAATTTTTAATGACTGACCCTTTGGATGCTATACAAGATAATTACTATAGCAATTGCTGGGCTGACTTTCAATCCTTTAACCAAAACAAGAAGTTTAAACTCAAAGTCTTTTCATTATATTTTCATGGAGTTCTGCCCTTCTGAATTCTGTCTGGTCAAACTAGAGGGAAAAGTGTTTTAAAATCACATTTTAAAACCTTAGTCTTTCCAGTCCATTCTATTCTATCCTGACTCCATTGAACTCCATACAGGAGTTTATTAAGACCAAGATCTCAGTGAAGATACTTAGGAGACTCCGAAAAAATCCATGTATTGAAATGCCTATTTGAATTGATTCTCCATACCCTTTGGGAGCCACCATCACTAATATAAAGGACTTCGTTTGCATAAACCACCACAGTCAGTTTTATTGATTTCTCTTATTTTCTCTTCTGTAGAATGTCCAGGAGGAGCTGTATCACCATGCAATAACAGAGGCCGCTGTTTTCAGGGTATTAATGGGGATGGCAAATGCATTTGCCGAGTAAGTCCATTCATTTTTTTGTAATGATATTGTGTATGACAGCTGGGAAATATGGCACATTTATACCAGAAAAAACACATAAATTAAAGTATTTCAGCAATAGCCTGCAGAGAGAGTTTGGGGGTGGGGTGGGAAGGTTTTTATTTAGTTTGTTTATTTATTTTTAATTTTCTGCTCGTACCAAACTTCAAATTACTCCCTATGACTGTTTAACTTAAAGTTTCCATAATGTCCATTTGCTGAGAATACATGCGGTGTTAAATAAACTCTACCCAGAAGAAAAAAAAAATTCTTCTCCCTCCTGATATGTGCATGTAAGACCTATTAAATTTGTTCACCTCATCCTGCATTGGCTGACCTTCTAGAAAAAGCTCATATTTTCTAGAGCACGTGGGTAGGTGGTGGAGAATGGGGAGTAAGTTAGAACTGAGGCATGTATTGTTGTTATTAGTGGGAGGACTGTTAATTGACCTGCATTAAAGTCTGCAATTAACACGGGACAGGATTAACACATTAATCCTTTTAACGCGTTAATCGCAGGTGTTAATGCTGCACTGCCCCTTTGAAGTGCCACTCCAGAGCCGCACTTCAAAGGGGTTTTTCAATGAGGAGCCAGGGATCAGCTGGAGTCCCCAGCTGATCACAGGCTCCTAATGCACTGCCCCTTTGAAGTGCTGCCACAGCACTTCAAAGGGGCAGTGCTGCATGGAGCCCGGGGTCAGCTGGAGACTCCAGCTGACCCCGGACTCCACCTTGCGCTGCCCCTTAGAAACTATGCCGCTGTGTTTTAAAGGGGCAGCTACACTGAGCCTGGGGTCAGCTCAGGACTCCCACTGATCCCAAGCTTCCCCAGCACTGCCCCTTTGAAACACTGCCGCAGCATTTCAAAGGGGCAGTGCGATTGTGATTACATTTTTTAATTGCTTGACAACCCTAATTATTAACTATTGATTATTAGAACGCTATGAGATAAGGTCTGTTGCCATTCTTGATTATATTTTAAGCCTTCTGAGTTTCTGTGAAAGTGGTCTAAGTTCCTAATGAGAGCAGGCTAGTCACTGACAGAAATTAACTTTAATATATAAATGTGAGGAAGAACAGTCCTCATCTTGGGGGACATTTCTTTCCAGCTTGCTGTCTGTTGTCCTTTCAGCATGTCACAGGGTGGGTGTGTCCAGCCCCCTCTGAGGCAGGGCTTTAGGCCTTCCAGGCCTCTCATCACCTGCTCCACGCCATGAGTGTCTCAGTCTCTAGGGTCAAGGTCCTTTCACTACGCCCCTTCTCTCTTACAACATTCCAGCCTAGCGGCCACAGTCAATGCAATACCCCTTCTCACAGGTTAGTGAGGCTCAGTGGCCAGAGTCCTTTCCACACCCTTCCCTCAGGGCAGTGGGGCCTAGTGTCCTAAGTCAATTATCACTCCTTTCCCTTAGGACAGTGGGGCCAAGCGGCCAGATTCTGCATCAATTACACTCTGTTCGCAGGGCAATAAGGCCTAGCAGCCAGAGTCATTAGCAACCCCCCTTTTCACAGGGTAATAAGGCCTAGTGGCCAGAGTCAACAGTCACAACTATAGCACCCCCTTGGGAGCTAATGAGGGTGAGGTAGGGGGACCCAGGCCCACCCTCTCCACTGGGTCCCGGGCCAGGGGAGTCGTCAGTGGTGGGTGTGACCCACCATTAGCTCAGCAGGGAATCCACTGGTAACACAGTGAGCTCTGGGGAGTTTTACCTTCCCACTCTGGGCTACTTCCTACCAGCCTCCCTGATGTTGGATTCTTCTCTGGTCGCGTCCGGGCTGAGAGCTTCTCCGGCCCATCTCCGCTGGCTGGCCTCAATGGCACCGTCCATCTGCAGCTCTTGTTCCAGAGCTCCTACAGCAGCTCCTTCCTCGGTGGTAGTCAGCCCTGATTGAGCTGCTCCACTGGCCTTTATACCGGTCCTCCAACTGCAGCATGCCCAGCAGGTCTGTGGCAATGAGGCTCTCTCAGCCAGGTAGTCCTGGTTGACTGCATCAGGCCCAGTGCGGGGTTGGTGCACCCCATCACATCGCATTATAACATTTTCTTATGTATGGCTACTCTGCTTGTATTCAAATATTTTAATGATATAGAAGAATGATCTCCCTTGTGTGTTCTATAGCCAGGGTTTGGTGGGACAGCCTGTGAAACTTGTTTCGAAGATAATGTATTTGGACCCAACTGCAGTTCAGGTATGTCTGATCTTATCTCCTTTTGTAGACGTGAAAAAATAAAACAAAGCTGTATCAGTGTAGGCTGAATTGCACAGGCAATAATCTTTGTGCAGCACAGTGAAAAATACCTTTAAATATCCTTGTTTTATCATATCTATATAGATATTTTCGAGGTTTTTGTCTGTGTTTCTGTCTGCGAGTCTGTTTGTTTAAGATGGTAAGAGCTGGGACCACCAAATTTGTTATGAGGTTCCTCTTCTCCGGACCTGACTTATAGCAAGGTCAGGGTTTGTTTGTGCCAGGACAACCAGAAGCCCTGGGAAAGGGACTGTTTTCCATAACATGGGAAGTGAAGGGGCGGGGGCTAAGCTGTTCTGAGGGACACAATACTGAGATTGGCCACTGGGGGCAGTGAGCCTGCAGGGGAGAGCTATCCTGCAGAGTGTCCACTGGGGGCAGCGGTTCCATCAAGGGATTGGCCAGCAGGGCTGAGGCTCTTCCATTTTGCCTGCCAGCACACCAGGTAAATAGCTCCCCTGCCCCAAGCCCTCTCCCCCCACCCCCTGGCAGCTGTGGAGGAACTGGGGGGAGAGAAAAGGTCCATACAGGATGGGAACCTCTGTCCTGAGCTCTTCCCCACCCCCCAGTCCTCATTTTGCACACACCTCCCTGCCCTGACTCCTACACTCCCCCCCTCACATCCCCAAGGCCCTGTCTTAACTAAGGCCCTGTCTTAACCACCCACCCACCCACCCACCCACCCATCTCCAGCCCTCTGTCCTGAAGGACCTGGGCAATGGCAAGTAAGTCTGCTAGTAATCAAATAAACTAGATATGGAAGGACCTGCTAAATTACCCAGGTCATCTCACAGTAAGTGTTGGAATGTTTCCTTCCATATATTTTCCATGGTCACATACTTATTTCGTTCTAAGTGTGTGTGAGAGAGACCCACCCACCCACCCATCTCCAGCCCTCTGTCCTGAAGGACCTGGGCAATGGCAAGTAAGTCTGCTAGTAATCAAATAAACTAGATATGGAAGGACCTGCTAAATTACCCAGGTCATCTCACAGTAAGTGTTGGAATGTTTCCTTCCATATATTTTCCATGGTCACATACTTATTTCGTTCTAAGTGTGTGTGAGAGAGATAACTGTGGTATTTACCATTGTATGGTAACCTATCAAATGGTAACTTGCAGTATTTTAAATAAATTTCCTAACTAAAAGTATGGTAACCAAGGCATATAATTACACCCCAAAACAGTAGCAAAAATACCAAATAAATACAATAGAGTATGAAAATCAGAGTACATCAGTACTAAGCCATCAACCAAAATACAGTCATGAATGGACAGTTACTTAAATATTCTGTTAGTGAGCTTCCTGCAATAATCACAGTAACTGTACAGCCTCAAAGGCACATTGTTTCCAATAGTTGTCCACTGGATGCCAGTATTGATTCATATAAATGCTATTGAGACAACATTGTCCTACAGGTGGTACACTTGAATCAATTCAGTATCTTTAGTGTTCCAGCTTTTGGATATTTCAGCTGTTTGAAATATTCAAAATTCTCTAGGAGCCCATGGAGATTGTGCATTGGTACAACTAGCAACAAATATGCCTTCAGCAATACCTCAAATGTAGCTGTAGATCAGAGGTGGGGAACCTAAGGCCCGGGGGCCTGTTGCAGCCCCTAGTTTGGGGCTGGAGCACACAAAATCTACTAGACTGGGCCCCCCTAAGCTCTGATATGTGAGGGGAATGTGGGGAGTGTCTTTCTCCTTCTCGGTTGGGGGCCATGTCAGTGAGGGTTTGGTTTTTCTTTTTTGCTTCTCACTTGCGTGTGGCCCCCAGCTGATTTTTCTGTGGGTCAGCAGCTCCTGGCCCAAAAAGGGTTCCTCACCCCTGCTTTAGATGTTAAGGCTGAATGCAAAAAAGGAGCTGTGTGCCTGGGAAAGTCACTGCAATGCACATAGGCTGTGTTAGGCATCTAGCACATTGAATGGTGAGAAACAAGCACCTTAAACCGGGATTCCTAAAAGCCAGCTCACTAAGCAGGGAATTGCCTCAGTGTAGTGGCCTAACCGGCCCACACTCAGCTAACCAATAGGAGATGCCCGCCCAAGGGGTGTGTGGTAAGCACACTTCTCGTGGTGATAGGACCTTGGTTCCAGCAAGCTGCAATGAGGTGCCTCTTTCTGCTTGCAATTCACAGCTAGGAGCTCTCTTTGGAGGTAGGTGCCTTATAATGCTTTAGCATGAAATGGGAGGGGGGTGGTCACATGCAGGACCCAATCCAGCAGGCATGCTCAGAGACCATCTGTTCACACAAATAAATGATGGCGGAAGGAGGACTTCTCTCATAACCGTTTTTTCCAGTGCTTAGACCACTCAGCTGGGATGGGGGGAGGAGACCTAAGTCAAGTCTCCTCACCTCGAGAAGAGATTTGAAGCATGAGCAATTACCTCCTGGGGGCACTTTCTAACCTTTGAGCAGGACCATCTGATGTGAGCCTATCTCAGTATATAAATTAAGAGAGAGAGGATCCTTGGTCTCCCATATTCTGAGAGCGTGCTCTGAGCCACCAGGCTGTAGAATCATTCTCATACTTAGTGTCTCTTTCTTGCGCTCATGCTCTCTCTCTCTCTCTCTCTCTCTGTGTGTCTTAAAGAGTCGTTTGGGCCAGAGAGTGAGCAAGCACACATGCATGAAAAGATTCCACAGTCTGGTGGAGAGAGGTGGCAGATCCTGCTTCAAATCCCTTGCTCCCCCCACCCCAGGTCAGGTCTTGAACCAGATCTTTCCCATGTCTCAGGTGTGTTCCCTAATCACCAGGCTAAAAATTATGGGGGAGAGTCTCTGCCACTTGCCGGTCTGTTTTGTATGAACTCACCTGACAGACCTGATGTGATAAGCAGACTCTGAGCATGCTGCTGGCATCAGGCCCCACACATGACCTAAGTGCCTGAAAACCTCTCTTTCCTTGGTTTGTGAATTACTCTGGGGATTAGGTGGGAGATAGGGGCCGTGGTGTCACAAAGTGCACACTCAGAGGCTGAGACATAGGCATCTAGAGAATTTTCACTGAAAAAGCTTAGACACCTACGAGGCGTGGTGGAAGAAGGGGTGCATCACAGTGGTATTGAAACCAGGACTTAGGTGTATGAAATAGGGACTTGGGCACTTAACTCCTGTTGTGCATTCAGACCAAGGGTTAGTCTACTCCAGAAAGTTGTAATAATGTAACTATGTTGGTATAGCTAAAACAACACAATCCCCTAAAATAGGTGCTATATAGCTATCCTTATAGAAGTGCTTTATACTGGTATAGCGTAATGCAGTATATGAAGGGGAATAAGCTGTCCTAGTAAAAGTCATCTTTATGCTGACATAACTGTGTCTACACTAGGGCATTACCAGTACAACTTTTTCAATAATACATCACATCCCTAAGTGAAATAATTATACTGGGGAACCATTTAAGTAGAATGAGGCTAAAGGAACAAATTTGCAAAGGGGCCTCAGCATTGTCTGAAACTGTGTATGTGCAACTTTGTGTGTGAAAACTGTCAGCCACCGAATTCTGTACGCTCCTTGTCCCCAGAAACATTGATTTTGTCTTTCCAATGTACACAACAGCAGAGGGACAAAATAAGACCTGCTGTAGAGTTTGACCTATTTGCTTATGCCCTTTAAGTGGCTAATGTACTCCCTTCTGTGTGCCTTAATATTAGGGTGGCAACTGTTCCACTTGATGTTTAAAGTCTGGGGTCCCATTATCAAATCTGAGTCAAGTTAGCCATCTTTGAAAATTGTACCCTGAGTGTCAAAAACAGTAGTGTTTAATTACTGGGACTAAATCATTAATGGCATGAAAAAAAACACTCAAAACCTTGTTTCAAATCTGCTTATTTACCCAAACCAATCCATTTCTACATATAGTTTGCACCTGTGCTCATGGAGTGTGCAACAGTGGAATTACAGGGGATGGAGGATGCACATGTTTGTCTGGCTACAAAGGCCTGAACTGTGATCAGCGTAAGTATGGGGCTTTTCATCAGGACATATTCACCTACTTCTTTATAGTGGCTGCTGGTGCGGACTAAATATATTAGTTTAGTATGCCTGAGAGTACCACAGCAAAATATATACACCCAACTCAGACTCCATCACATCTAAACCTAACAAAGACATGTGATCATTATTACCTCATCTTTTCATCATCAATCACCACTAACAGTGGTCACATCCCCACTCCACGGTGCCTTGCTCATCTAAATGCTGCATTGGTTCTTGTACAGCGGAAGGACGGAGAGTGAAATGTTCATTAGTGTGATGTTCAACCATAGTCTAGCTTTTTGCCTTCTTTCTCTCCAGCAATACCTGAGTGTGAGGCTTTGCAGTGCCCTGAAAACTCCAGATGCTCTATTTCTAGTGAAGATGAAACCAAGTTGGAGTGTACATGTCTTCCAAATTACTACAGAGATGGCAAACAATGCGAACGTAAGTCCATGTCAAGCCCAACGGGCCATGAATCCCCCGATGGCAGCCTTAAAATCAGTATAGGCGAACGACAATTTACATATGCTGAGAGAGGTCCCGCTACACGGTGACATGGCTGCATCACTGAGCCCAAACACAAACATTTCAGACAAATTTAGCACATGCCATTTTTCCAGTATTTGATGAAGTATGAAAGCCTATGATCTCTGCTGGGGCAAAAAGTTTTTCACAGTGTAGTCTCTACCACACTCACTGTGCCACTTGAACTGTCAAACTGTTTTTATTTATTCTATTATTACATTATGACATGACATTATTATTCTAATAATTCTAGCCAAATTGTGTTGCTGAAGATTCAGTCGTGTTTACCTAGTAACACAGAAATTTCTGTACTGGATCAGACCCAAGATCTCTCTCAACTGGTATTTTGCTTCCAACAGTTGCTTTGTGCCTGATGTTTCAGGAGAAAGATGAAAAAAAAAACATATCAAAGACATTTCTTCCCATCTCCCATCAGTGAGCTGTTGTCCTATAGTCTAAAACAAGCACAATTATATTCCGCTATATGGGGGGTTCTCACATGGGGGCAATGAGATTATGTGGGGGGTCACAAGCTGTCAGCCTTCATCCCCCTCCCCCCACTTCACTTTGCCTCCAGCAATTATAATAGTGTTTAAATTAAAAACTTTTTAAATAGTTAAGGTGGGAGTCACACTCAGAGGTTTGGTGTGTAAAAAGAGGTCGCCAAAAGTTTGAAAACAATGGTGCTATATTATATTTTATCTAGGGTACTAATGGCAAAATTTGCCAGTAAGTTCAGTTTTTTAAACTACACAGTGAGTTGGTTCAAGGATGGATTAATTAGTTCAGATAAGATACTCACTTTGGAATCATGGGCAACAACTTGTGCTTCAATCTCCCCATTGGCTACTATCAGTGTTACGATTCAGGGCCAGATCTTGAACAGCTTTTTACTCCCAGTGGTGGGCAGTTAAACACAACACTAATGCCACTGACTTCAGTAAAACTACTCATGGAACTATTGGGTTCCAAAAAGGGATGTAAAATCCCATTTAAATGGTTAAGCAGTTAAACATTATGGCTACGTCTACTCTGCAGGCTTCTTGCGCAAGAACTGTTTTGCGCAAGAGTTCTTGTGCAAAAGTCTTGTGCTAGAGTGTGTCCACACTGCCATGTGCTTTTGTGCAAGGGATGTGCTTTTGCGCAAGAGCGTCCATGGCAGTGTGGATGCTCTCTTGCGCAACAAAGCTGTGATGGCCATTTTAGCCATAGGGGTTTCTTGTGCAAGAAACCCCTGTTGCCCGTTCACACTGCTTTCTTGCGCAAGAGGGCTTATTCCTTGTCATGTTTATGAGGGTTAACCAGCAGCCTGGGGATTAAGGGGTTAACTACACCTAGCCAAGTGGAGTGACCAGTAGGAATGTAGGTGGGACTTTCAAACTGGGATAAAGGAATTTGAGTTTTTTCCTTTCTCTTTTTGTCTCTGGGTGTGTTCTCTACAGCTACAGAGAGGGACAAGCATGTCTCTCTCTCTCCAAGACACCATTCTTCATTTTCTGTAAATAGGGTAAAGTTTAGATAGTTTCATTAGGCTTTATTGTTTTAAGAGTTGGGTATGGGATCTGAGATCTGGTACTGGTTAAAAGATGTTTTGGCTTTTCTTTGTAACTAAGTTCTAGGCCCATGGAGTTTCTCCATGAGTATATTTTGTTACCTTCCTATCTAGTCATTATACAGTACTTGCAACAGGAATATTGTTGTAATAATAAAAGTTTTCTTTTCTTTTTATTAACCTGGCAGTGATTAATTGTGTGCCCTGATTTTTATTTTAGGGGTGAGATTTCCCAAATGATCTTTCCCCTAATTTCTTTATCAACATTTGGGTGGTGGCAACAGAAGTTTTATTCCCAAGATCTAGGTTTTTAAGATTTTGGGGAAGTTTTATACCAAAGCCTGGTAGGTAAGGCTTTGGAGCACACGTGCTGGCCCCCGCTTCTGCATTTATCATGCCAGAGTGGGGAAGGAGCCATGACATTCCTCGTGGGGAAAAGAATAACTCTTGCGCAAGAAGCCCTCTGTTCCAACGCCTTACTGTAAATTTACTTGCGCAAGAACGTGCGTGCAGTGTAGACGCTCCGCAAGTTTTTGTGCAAAAATGGCCGTACTGGCACAAAAAGCCTGAAGGGTAGATGTAGCCTTAGTTTAACCAGTTTAACTGGTTAAAGGGGCCGCAGGTGGAGCAGTCCTCCACTTCTGAATCCAATCTGGAGCAGCCCCCCCATCTCAGGCAGGGGCTATTCCAACAGCAATATGGAGGAAATGGACTAAAGCACTCATGGGCCATTTCTCTATGGCATGGTGTCAAGTATCAGAGGGGTAGCCGTGTTAGTCTATAAGGTGCCACAGGACTCCTCGCTGCTTTTGCAGATTCAGACTAACAGAAGTGTTGGAGCATAAGCTTTCGTGGGCAAAGACCCACTGCATCAGATGCAACTGATGAAGTGGGTCTTTGCCCACGAAAGCTTATGCTCCAATACTTTGTTAGTCTATGAGGTGCCACAGGACTCCTCGCCGCTTTCTCTATGGCAGTGGTTCTCAATCAGGGAAATACGAAGGTCTTCCAAGGAGGACATCAACTCATCTAGATCAGTGTTTCTCAACCTGGGGGGGGTGAGCCCCAGAGGGGTTTACGCATGTCACAATAGGGGGTGGCAAACAGGACAACTACCTGTGGCATCATGCCACTGGTGCCTTACAAAGCTAAGTTACATGCTTCAGTTCGGTGAGGGAGAAGGGGGAAAGCTTGTGCTTGAGTTCCTGAAAGGGGTACAATAATCTGGAACTGATGAGAACTAGGACTCCATCTCTGCTGTATAAGAGTATGGCTAGACTGTGGGGTGGGTTCAGGATACCGGAGGTATCCCAAAAAAATTCCACCACATCCAGGGAACGCATTTGCTCTTCTGCTTTTTTTTTTGCGGAAGTGCAAACGCACTCTTTCGGAAGCCCCTGTTTTCCTTGTTCTACGAGGAAGAAGGGGGCTTTCGAAAGAGCGGGTTTTTCCGACATTTGGGCCAGTCTAGATGGGCCAAATGTCAGAAAAGCCTCTTCCGACAAAAGTATCGAAAAAAGCTACGCAAAATGCGGATCACTTTTTGCGTAGCTTTTTCCGACAAACAAATGTAGTCTATATGTACCCTAAAGGAAGACCCATTCTGCTGAGTGACATTTTCCTGCTAATCTAACCTGCCTTAGAGCAGTTATTTTATGTTGTGTCATTTCCCTGATCCTCTATGATCACACTGCAACAAAGAAGCAGGCAGTCGTTTAAGTTCCTTTTTAAATGAGTGCATTATTGCAGGTTTAATTGGGTAATAACCCAACATGCCAAGTTTAAAGGTCACTTAGGGTATGTCTACACAGCAGGGCTAAAGTTGAATTAAGCTACACAACTTCAGCTACTCCAATTGCTTAGTTTAAGTCGGCTTTTGGCGCTGTCTCCACAGCAGGAAGTCAAAGGAAGGACACCTCTTGTGCCTCGTGAAATGAGGGTTACAGGAGTCAGAGTAAGAAGTCCTCCAGCTCAACATTATTTTGAAATGAAGGCTTGTGGTGTAGAATAATGTCAGTTATTCTGAAATAACGCTGCAGTGTATACGTACCCTTACATACAAAAACCGCAGATAGTTGTTCCTATCTCAGACCTTCATATTGATACAATACTTTGGACTTAGCTATTCTAGGCAGCTTATTCTATTGGCTCTGCTTGATATTAATAGGCTTCACTAGCCTTTTGCTCAGTTTTTGCAACTTCTGGATAATTATTAATTTGTTTGACTATTGTTTTTTCAAGCTATCAACCCCTGCTCAAAAACAGTCTGTGATCCAAATGCTTATTGCACCTACCTTGGACCTAATCGTCATAAATGTGTTTGCCAAGAAGGTTACAAAGGGGATGGCCAAGTTTGCTTACCAATAGACCCTTGCCAAGGGATATCTGGAAATTGCCCTACAGAATCTACCATTTGCAAATATGATGGTCCCGGAAAGGTAAGTGTCAGACTGGAGCCCATGGAATTTCCAAAATCAACTGACTAGGACCAAGAAAGAGTTTTTCCTGTGGGGAGACAGTCTTGCCTAATGGTTAAAACTTTCGAAACATGAGTTCTGTTCCTAGCTCTGCCATGGGCTTCTGAGTGACCTTAGGCAAGTCATTTTCTTTTTCTCTGCCCTCCTCCGCATCTGTTCTGAATGGACATTAATGTTCCCCTGGCACCTTTTGTAAGAGGTAGGGCTTGCCTGGGAGTCCTTGCCCATAAATGTTGCCTCCTCCCAACTATTTTGCAGTCTACTGTGTGCTGGTTTGTTGGCCTTTGCCATTCCAGAGGTGGCTGCATTTCATGGATGCTATATGAATACACTGTAGTTTATTCAATGTTTTGTGATCTTTCCAGGGAAGGAAAGGTCTGTGTGAATATTGATTATAAATTTTACCTATCCACACTTATTTTAATAAATGCTTCCTTGCAAGGCAATGGCACAAAGAATTGTATTCCTTTTTTAAGGATATCATTGGAAGCCAGACTTCACTAGCCTTTTGATGGGATAAAATTTAGAAAAGAGTTGAATAAATCTGGATAAGCTGCTGGAATCAAGTCGGCTCCCACATCTCGTGGGCATCCCTCTGGTTGGGCGCGTCTGTGTTCTTTAGTTTTTGGGACCCCTGTCAGTGGTATTTTCAGTGACAGTGCTCCAGCCAAGTCACACACTATCTGCATGTTAACCAAACCAGACTTCTTCTATGGTATACAGTCCACTGGGGACTGTCTCTCTCTAGCCCTCCCTGGGCTTTGATTTTTAAGTAGCCTGCCCTAGTATGAGGCTGTATCCTTAGGGCTTTCTTCCTAGAGACATTAGTATTCTGAAGCCCTCCCCAGGCTCAAGCTCTACTCAGTCCTAGCCACCAGCCAGAAGCATCTTGCTTCCCAGTCCCTGCTAGCAGACTTTATTTGCCTCACTCCTAGTAGCCAGCCAGGAGCTCCCTCAGTGCTCCCCTGGTCCTTGCCCACACTGAGCTGTTCATGGCCCTATGCTCTTCCAGGCACCCAGGCCTGCACTCCTTTCTTCTCTGACTTCAAGCAACAGCCCCTGTGCTCTCTTTCACGGCTCCTTTTAAAGGCTCTCCTGGCCTCTGATTGGCTGCTTTTCATGCAGCCATTCTAGCCTGCATGGAGGACCTCTCTACTCCTATCCTGGGATAAGTGTGGCAGAACTCTGAGGCCTCCATCAGGGGGCCTTTGGGCCTAGTCCACACTATCACAGTTGCATAGATGCAGCTGAATTTCTGGGTACTTACCTGAGCTTTTTGAAGTTGTCCTTAAATCCTTGACATGGATTTTGTGACAGAAAAATGCTGAAAAATAGCAAGTCACTAATGAAATGTGAAATACAATCTAACCTTTGTCTTTCTCCTCCGATTTAGTCCCACTGTGAATGCAAAGAACATTACAGAAACTTAGTACCTGGGAAAGGATGCAGTATGACAAATATCTGTGAGACTAACAACACCTGCCATAAAAATGCTAAATGCACTATGGATGCACCAGGACAAATTGCGTAAGTCTTTTTCCTCCTTAAATCTTTCATTGATTATATTTTCTATTAATTAAATAGTCTACTAAAGGCAAAAGGCGATGGCAGAGCCATTCTCAGTAGTGTATCACTGACAATTTCTTACAAAGTCACTTTATACAATTTTGGAGCATATTAGATCATGCTAGTGCAGGAATAGTGCTTGGTACAGTGTTGGGTGCAGCAAAATGGTTCAGCATTGTGAGAAAATCATGTATGACATTGAATGTATATTGCTCACTTATAGCCTGATCCAGTGTCCACTGAAGTACAACTGGTCTCCGACTTATGAACGAGTTACGTACCAAACAGTTGCTCGTAACTCGATTTGTTCGTAAGTTGGACCCCATTCATTTAAACGCGGCCGTGTTGTTCGTAAGTGTGGATTGCGTTCATAACTCAGGGACTGACTTGTAATGCGCTTAATGGGAGTTGGTCGTAAGTACGAATGGTCGTAAATCGATACGTTCATAACTTGGGGACTGGCTGTAAATGGGTCTTCACTGATTTCAATAGGCTTCAGAAAAAACAAGTATGGTGATGTTGTAGTTGGTGCAACAATAAATTAGCAAAAAATTATACAGCATAATTCTACAGAGAATATGTATTGTAGTTTAATTCTTAACCTTAGAACGCAGTACTAAAGCCAACGAGCTAAACTATAAATCTTTTCATTCTCAAACAACATTGTAATATGACAAATGTTTAGTTTATAAGTGTATATTTATAATGCTATTTTCAGGACCAGAATATGGCTGATAATATTGGGTAATAATTCCTATCTGGTGTCAAAAATACTTTCCATAAAGGTGTTCATACTTAGCATAAAATAATTTTCTTGGTTTAAGAAGGCTATGCTGGTTGTGCTTACAACGCTAATGGAACTTTTCTATTATAGATTACGGTATATTTAGTGAAAGTTTCTACAGAATGTTCTTTTGCCTATCTTTGGAGCAGGTTACATAGCCCCATCTCTGTGCTTCACCGTCTACTTTGTGATAATGACAACTGACGTAGCACTGGGTGGTAAACAGTTTTCTATCTTGTCAGACTTTGACGTTTAAAACAAAAATCAATTCTAAAAAAATTTCACAAACAAAAAATTCTGAAAAAAAGTTTTCAAATCAAGTCAATCAAGGTTATCCTTTAGGTGGGATTTGAAACAAGAAACTTTTAGAAGATTTAATATCTGGGTTAACTCTGGAACCAGCAGTTCAACTCTGCCACTACAGTCCAAACTAGTAAAAATGAAATTAACACAAGCAGAAAACAATCAAAAGTCAAACAAATGACATTCAAGGGTTTACTCTCCCACTTCATAATTTTTCATTTCACCACCTTAACTTTTCAAGAATTGAGGAAGTTTTATTTTATTTTATTTTACATTTCCAACTCAGAAAAAAAGCAAACACTTCTAGAAATCATTTGTTTGCAATCTGTGACAAAAAGAAGGAAAGGAAAGGAATTCTGGATGTCCCCAAAAAGTTGGACTTTTTTGAAAAACAGGAAATTCCA